TTTCCTCTGCATATATGAATTGTATAACTGGGAGAATCGCGTTAAACCGGCTACGGAAATTCGGCAGTAGATCTTTTTGGTGACACGAAAAGTGTCGTTGACGTATCAGCGCCAAAATAACGACTTCTGCTGACTGAAAACAAGTCTCTGGTTATGCACGCAACGTTGCTTCTACTAAATCGGGGGACGACTGCTCAACAAGACTGGTTAGTTAAGTAGTCCAAAGTAGCAAACGGATGAATCGAAGAAGTTTAGAAGAGAACGGACATAACAACCGCATATAATGTAATGAAATACAATGCAACTTAATGAAATATTGCCGGAGGTAATACGCACGGATAAGAGCCAACCACTGTAAAAAAGATGGTCTTATGATAAATTCCATGAAGGTCATCCTTTTCCCTGTCCTAAACTTAGATTTAATTTTAACATTTACTCTAACCCTAACCCTAGAAAACGCTAGGACACCTGCAATATGTGTGGATTTCCTGTTCCCGTGACCTATTTATCCCACCTTTTGGACACAATTTGCGGCCATAACTCAACGTACATCGGGAATAGATGAAGTTGGAACCCAGTTTCTGTTTAGTGTCTATTTAACGATGCAACCAATCTTTCGAAATCGTAAAACAGCTTACGTAAATCATATGGAAGTGCCAGTAACCGAAAACAACAACTCGTAAGACGAAGCAGTGATGACCCAGTTTACTTTGAAACTCCTATGCAGACTTCTTAATTTCCATTTTACAACCCGACACTGCGCACGTTTTTCCTGGAGACATTGTCAATTACTCATACAGAAAGACAGATATTCTTCATTTGTTAGCTGCACAATGTTCATTTATTGTAGAAAGTTTCCCGAACTGATTTCGTGTGACGGATTGACAGCTATGAGAGTAAATAAAAATGTTGAACGATTTCGTGAGGCTGTTTGACGAAGGGGGTATGGAATGTCTGAAATTAGTGATTAAAAAATGAAGGAAATCTTAATATGAGTCAAGTACCGCTTAAACAGGTAGAGAAAATACGCTTCAAAAGTCGCAGTTTGAAAAATTAGCAACAGTTCTTCCATTAGACATTTGATAAATTGTCGACCGGCCCACCGTCTAAGAAGGCCAGAGAAGCTTTCCTTGGAAAATGGAAGCTTTCAAGGATTTCATAAAAAGCACATTAAAGTGAAAAGGGTTAACAAGTGGACGAATAAGGGAAGGAATTATTGGCTAAATGAAGGATGATTGGGATATTGAACTATTTTCTGCAGTACATATAGATTTGGGGCTTACCGAAATATAGAAATTGTAAAAGGAGAGAAAATTGGATGAGAAGGTGAGCAACGGCCAAAAGAGTAGATACCACACAATACCCAAAGCCAATCCCACTCTTGTGACCTTCTGTGTCAACTGAAGTGCGCGTCGCACTTCGGCCAGTCCGACTTTGCCTTCACTAAGTCGCGGCGAATAACGCAAGTCTAATTCGCTAAAACAAACATTGAAACACACAGATATTGAATGCACACACAACGATAGCAATCTCTAAATATAGTCCCAAACAACAAAAGTAACGAAATAATGAAAGGTACGTCTCCCAAGATGTCTTCAACTAAAGGTGATGGAGAAGTGGAAACAGTAGAATGTAACTCAACTCTTCAACTTCACATCATAACCACGCGTTGGCAGACGAACGCGGCTGCACAAGGGTTCTGTGTGGGAGAATACGTACTGAATTGAAGATACAGGGGTAAAGTAGCCTCTGTGTCAGCTTTCTGCGTGACTATTTCAGAGGGAATGGCTAACCTCCGAACCTTCATTATTAGATGCCTGTGATATCTCCGGAGGGAAGTGGCTGTCGTTGACGACGAGGCAGATGCCATGATATGCAATGCATTAGGCAACATCATAGGTCGCAGAAAGCCTTGTCCGTGACTTGAGGATCGACGCCACGCACCAGCCGGTGTCTACAGTACATGGACGAATCTCATGTGTCTAGGTGGTCAGACTAGTGTTGTCTACGGCATGTGGTGTGCTGACTGTTCCTGAGGGCATACATTTCAGTGAGAGTTAGAGCTGGTGATTCGAGTGAGCGAGCATAAAATGACTGTGCAGCGGGCAGCTTACTTTGCACTCGAGGCTACTCCATCTGGAGTAGTAGCTAGCCTTCGATTGCGCAACAGGTGCATTCGTACTGTTTTATTTGTCAAATGAGCAGGAGTATGCGCTTGTGGATGCTTAGTGCTTTCCTGACATCGAAGTTTAGTTCGCATGCTTTAATTTAAATTAGGCACATTTCCAAAACCCCCAAGGATCTACCCATAGTACAGCAATAGCTGAGGCATAAATATCTTCAGCATAAAGCGAAAGGTTGTTGGAGGAACTTGATTAGAAGACAGCCTTTTCAAGTTCTATGGGTGTGGATAGTGCGGAAGTACTGTGATTTCAAACAAGAATCTGTCTTCTTGTTTCTCCCAGAGGCTCCGGATCTAAAACCCTCACAGATGTTTGCATGATTGCGCGTGATCAGTAATAAAGAAGCACGGTTCTCCCTGATTTATTTGTTGTTGTCATACTGGCGTGCTCTTAACCCGGACGAGAGCATTAGATCCGAAATCGAGGTCATCGTGCTGGCCGATGTCGTCAACTATGTCGAGAATTCTCATGCTGTTGTCCTCATCTTTGCAGAAAAGTCTTTGCGAGTGCATGCTGTGTGTTAAACCAAGTCTGGATGTTTACGGCCTCATTAGTAAACTCACTGCGCGTAGAGTTCAGGCCACGGAGTAAGGGGGTTGTCGATGTTTTGGAAACTGGCCCAGACTGCCAGTTCTTCTTCCTCGGAAAGATGTCGAGCTCTCAGTCCACTCCAAAGAGCGGGCACAAGAAATCCACCGATGAGACCGACAGCAGCCAAAAGTAACCAGGTCGATACTGAGCATGAATGGAGATGAAGTTTGCAGTGTATGCGAGGATAAAAAGCAAACAGGAAAGTCTTGAAGAAGGAGACGCGATCGCCGGGACAAGAGCTTTATTAGCCTGACGTTTCGGATTTCTACTCGAATCCATAATCAGAGGCAAAAATCAGAAACCTAGAAAAAGCAGAGTAGCAGACCATTTCTGGTTTTTTGTCTCTGATTATGGATTCGAGTAGGAATCCGAAACGTCAGGCTAATAAAGCTCTTGTCCCGGCGATCGTGTCTCCTTCTTCAATACTACTTCCTGGGACTCGTCTCTTCGCTTCTATTGGCAAACAGGGAAGTGGCATTGCGCTGTTTCGGCTAGATTGACTTTTCATGACAATGGTCGAAAATCGACTATTAGATTGGCGATAAAGGTGGTTTAGTGGAACTGGTATTTGTACTGATGGGAACGCTAAACCTGACGGAGAAATAAAACTTGCAGTGCATGGCAGTTGGAATTTCATGTGATGCTCAGTGTTTGTCCGAACATATGAAACGTTGGTGGAGTTGGTGAACGTTGTATGCAAGAAGTAAATGCAAACGCGTCACGGACCTAATATCATCAGATAATATCCCAGGTTATTGTAGGTTGCTATAGTTGGCGACGGGGTGCAGGAGTGTTCTGCGGTGGGTTCGCGTGACGGTCGTAATAGGTCGCTCACTTACCTGCAGGCGCAGACTACGCCTAACGTCCATTTTTGGCCACCCATCTCTCACATATGGCTCCCAGAATCTAGGATCTGCCTAGCGGCCACACTCCGGCAACCGCCTCGGCCGGCGGGCTAAAACGGTTGAGGGTATCCTTGAGTGTACCTGCGCAAACGGTACTGTGGACTCCACTGGCCGAATGGATCTTCGCTACGACTTCGTTGAGACGAGGCTCCGTCTGGACCACCGCAGAAGGCTACAATGTAAGTGAGCCCTAAGGTATGAGAATGTTGCTCTCTTTCCTTATTTTGCTCGGTAATATTGTGCTGTATGTTACTCTTATTGCCTGCGCTAGGCTTGTTTTTTGTGCTTGTCCTTATTAATAGCTAGTTGTCGTTCTGCTGGACTTCATTTGTTGCCTTTCTTACTGCTGTCCCTGCCCGTTGGCTATGTCTGCTTATCCATCCTAGCGGTAAGTTATATGTCGTTCTGTTGATTTATCTTCCCTCCTATTCACTTTTGCAATTATTTCACACCGGATAACAGCGGGAAAGCTGCGCTTCACGTCTCTCCACTCCCTTTCCTCCCGATTCAAGGTCCCAGGCTAACTCGGATCGTTCTCTCACTAACGTAAAGTCGTGGCCCATAGTGGAGTTCAGCAGCCGTCAGGAGTAACTGAGCAGCCATATTTAGGGGGTGCGCTGTTCGTCCCCGCAATGGGGAAGAGGCTAGAAAAGGTGTCCTACAAAGTGCTGAGAACCATCTGTAGGCTGGCCGTGGCCGCGGACAAAAAAAACACGTGGTCGAAACAGCCGAAACCGAAACCATAATCTCTCTCTCTTCCTTTTTCTCCTTCTTCTGCTCCTCCTCCTCCTCCTCGTCGCCCCACTCGCCAGACTGGCAGGGTGAGTCCGCTCATTTTGGCAGCCTGGAATATTCGTTCCCTGTTAGATAATCCGAGGAACAACCGACCGGAACGGAGGACGGCGCTAGTGGCTCGGGAAATGGCGCGCTACAAGGTGAACATCACAGCACTCAGCGAGACGGGTGCCCGCTACACCTTCTTCTGGAGAGCAGAGCGACGGGACGCGGACGTCGGCTCTGGCATCGTGAAGCGACTACCCTGTCTGCCGCAGGGCATCAGCGATCGTCTGATGAGCCTCCGCCTGCCTTTTCGGAGAGGCAAATTCGTCACCATCATCAGCGTCTGCGCTCCGCCGATGACCAGTCTTGACGTCACAAGTGACAAGTTCTACGAGGACCTGCACGCGCTCCTGGCAAATGTGTCGAAGGCGGATAAGGTGGTTGTCCTTGGTGACTTCAACCCCCCGTCGGAACAGGCCACGCTGCCTGAAAAGGAGTGCTAAGTCCTCATGGTCTCAACGGCTCCAACGACAATGGCCTCCTCCTTCTACGAACGTGCGCAGAACACAGACTCATCCTGACGAACACCTTCTCCGGCCTGCCGATGCGAAAGAAGGCCACCTGGAGGCATCCTCGGTCGCGTCAGTGGCACCTGCGGGACCATGTCCTCGTTCGGAGGCGAGACCAGCAGGACGTGCTGGTGACAAAGGCGATTCCGGGTGCTGACGGGTAGACGGACTATCGCCTCGTCTTCTCGAAGATGCGGATTCGCCTACAGCGGCGCAGTAGACCACAAGGTAAGCGACCTCAGGTAAGCCGAATATTGCCTTGTTGTCTTTGCCTGCTCATCATCTTCATTTCAACAACGAGCTAGCTCAACGGCTAGACAACCTTCCAGTCTCTGCCGCCCCGCCGCCGCTTACGAGAACGCCTCCGCGGAGAACCGATGGTGTTAACTGCGGGACACGGTCCAGTCGACGGCTGTGGCCGTCCTCGGTCGTGCGCGCCGTCAACACCAGGACTGGTTCGACGACAACGACGCCGCCATCAGAAACCTACTGGCGGAGAGGAAGCGCCTGCACAAGGCCTACGTCGACAGCCCCACAGACGACAACAGAGTTGCTTTCTACCGTAGTCGTCGCCTTGTACAACAGCGACTGCGTGAGCTGTAGGACGCCTGGACGGCTCGCAAGGATGAGGAGATCCAAGGGTACGCGGACCGTAACGAATGGGAGACCTTCTTCTCCGCGATAAAAGCCGTCTTGGGTCCGCCAAACAAGGGTACCGCACCTCTTCTCAGCGCCGACGACAGTACCCTACTCACTGAGAAGACACAAATTCCACAACGATGGGCCGAGCACTTCCGAGGCGTTCTCAACCGTCCCTCCGCCATCTCCGACGCCGCCATCGCCCGTCTGCCGCAAGTGGAGACCAACGCCGACCTCGACCTCCCGCCCGCTGTCCACAAAACCATCAGGCTCGTGCAGCAGCTCTCCAGCGGAAAAGCGTCCAGATCGGACGCGATCCTTGCTGAGGTCTACAAGCACGGCGGCCCCAAATCATGGATCACCTGAATGCGCTCTTCCAGGAGATATGGCGTCAGGGAGAAGTCGCGCAGGATTTCAAAGACGCCACAATCGTACATCTATGCAAACGGAAAAAAACAACCAGCTATGCGACACTCATCGAGGCATCTCCTTGTTAAGCATCGCCGGAAACAAATCTTTGCTCTTATCCTTCTCAACCGTCTGAACAACCATCCAGAACAACGTCTTCTGCTGGAAAGCCAATGCGGCTTCCGCCGCCATCGTGAGACCACGGACAGGATCTTTGCCGCCCATCGACTTCAGGAGAAGTGCTAGGAGATGCGAACTCACGTCTACTCTGCCTTCGTGAACCTGACAAAGGCCTTCGACAAGGTGAATCGCGACGTCGTGTCCACGATGTAAACGGACATTCAGGGAGCCAATTGGACTTGTTGAACACTTTTGGATCAACTGCACCGCTCGGACTGCACCAACCGTCGCTCCTCCGTCCACCTCCTCCGTCCACCTCCTCCTCGTACTCTACGCCGTCAACAAATTCTGACCGCCCTCCTGAACCCCCACTTACATCCTCCTCCTCCTCCTCCTCCTCCTCCTCCTCCTCCTCCTCCTCCCCTTCCTCCTCCTCTAATACTTCAACGTTTGC